AACTCTTCGGTGCTTGGACAAGCTGAGTTGAAAAAAAATGTGAATTGAAAGTTTTCTTTAACTAGTTAATAACCGGAAAATGGGAAAAATGACAAATAATACCAGTTATTAAATGACCCGACTAAACGGCGTTTCTTTGAGATGAACAGTTTAAACAAAGAAACGGTCACGTGAAAATACTTACATCATCGCCCCCGCGGTCCTCAAATTGCACCGTCACCTATAGATTGAACTAATTCATTTATTCTCCCTATATCATAAACTCGCATACATACAGTCGTGATCGATTAAGTGTTTATAACATGATAACACTAATATCTTAAGATCAGGAGAGCAGATCAAGTTTCCCGAATTTCAGACTTTCGGGGGAAGGAGCAAAACGTGGCGCCAATTTGTAAGGAGGTACGTACAGAAATAATATTTTCTCAGTCAGTCCAAAAGTATGCATAAGCTCACTTGAGTCCCCAATAAATTGATCGAATTGTCTTCTTTCGCGGGTTTTTTTCTTTTTAGTTACCCAGGACTAAAACAGTTGGAAAGCCGGGAATCCGTAGAAAGCCTAAAGACGAAAAATCCTCTAAGTCCTTTTCCTCTGACAAAGATAATTTAAGTGTATATTGCACAAGTATAACGTTAAGGAAATATCATCGGCAAATGTTAGGTAAGAGCGGACGCTGACATTGACACAACATTTTGGACAAGAATCTTAGAATAGACGCCACTTTTCCCGCTGTACACGAGTTTTTTTAATCGTTGTCATTAATTCTTTTGATTTCGAAGTGCAGATGACCAATAAGGGCATAGCTTGATAACTTTTCATTCTCCTGTGCTGATGAATTTCAAACAATAAAAAATTTGCATAAGCTGATGTAATTTCTTTCAGCGCGACATTTATAAACAAAGAGCTGGGTGGAAAGAGAATAATTTCATTTTGATTATTATCTATTTCTTGCATGTTTTCTGACTTGTCTTTTAAAGATATCCCACACTCGTGAAAAGGATAGTAGACTGCTATGCACTTAGGACTAATGGATACAATAATTAATTCCATTGATTTTGTTTTATTTGTAGCTGTTGGATGACAGTTTCCCGGGTTGTTTAAAATCAGTCTGTTATTCGTTGTTCATTATTGTACGTTACTGTTTTTGCGTCGGTTTTGTTGGGAAGACTGTGTATTCCGAAGAGCATTTGAAACAAATCACAGGAATAGCAGGAGCCCTGAAATACTTCGCCTTAACGGATAGTTTTTCCTATAAACTGTTCGAACGTAGCTAAGATTTCAATTCAAAAGGTCAACGATTACCTCTTTTTTCAACAACTTTGGAAGTACAGGTAGTAGGTTAGCAATCCATTTGCCCTTTTGTAGCAAGTTCTAGAACATTCGCGATGTGTAAGAGAGCCGGGAGAAATTTACTCTCAAATCCATAATAAAACTAAGACCCGTTTCAAACGTAATGCTACTGCCGTGCCGAACTAAATTGATCGAATTAAATTCGACTTTAGCACGGCAGTAGCTCGACTTGGTTTCAAACGTCGCGCTACTGCCGTGCCAAACTCAATTCATAAATTATAAATGCATTAGAATACATTTAAAAGTTTGCTAAACCGTTTCTTTATTTTTGTGTTTTGTTTTCGGCAACAGCCGTTCTATTCGACTGAATTAAATTCGACGTCTGAAACCAAGTCGTGCTGGTGCAGCTGGTGTCGTGCTAAAGTCGAGCTACAGTCGATCGCGAGCTACAGTCGAGCCAGCTTAGCACGGAAGTAGCACGACGTTTGAAACGGGCCTAAGACTCATCAAGCTATGATCTTTCGGGTTCGTATAGATACAAGTATGACCTATACAACAACGGTATGGAGGTCGTCGAAGTGAAGCCCACTCTCAAGATTCTAGAATTTACGTTGGATAGGAAGATTTCCTACAGGGAACATATTTTAGGCCCGGTTCAGACGCCGAACTTTTCATGAGCCGAACCTAATTCGAATTAAGACCGACCCAAATTATTTAGACCGGCTAAAGTGATTCCCGGCCGGGCTAGGCGAAAAGAACGGCTGAGCCGTTCCAAATTGAAACAGGCGTTCCTAATTGATTCAGACGCCGAACTTTTCATGTTCATGTACTTAATTCAATGTATTAGGTTCGGCTCATGAAAAGTACGGCGTCTGAACCGGGTCTTAGCCAATTGCAGAGTATTTATTCCAAGACCTCACCGGAACACTATGATTCTCCGGTAAAAAACTTTTCTAGTTCCACATCACCTGTGCTTCGCCTCTTCCACAGGCGTCTAAGTGCAGAGCACTAGACGCCAGAAGTGTAGCAAGTTGGCAATGCGGCCAATATTGATTTCCGGGGGGGTACTCCCATAAATTTGCCTTACAGAGTATGGTTTTTGCGCCGTTTTGGTCTGAAAACGGGTATAGACTTTGCCTATTTTCGTCTGAATTCGGGTATAGTTTTCGAGGGAATGCATGAACGCATTTGTCGTTTCATGAATGAAAATTCAAAGAGGAATATTCTGCGAATTCGAGATGGATTTTAAAAAATCTTTTTGCTGGCGTTCTAATCTAAGTAATGAAAACATGATTCCTGCCTAAGCCAGGTCTGAAGACGGGTATGAATTTAAGAGGCTAGGTCTGAAAACGGATGTGGAAAATCACAATTTTTTGGTCTGAAATAGGTTCGGGTTTGTAGAGCGGCACACCCCCACTACGAATTCCCAGGAATACTCCCCCCGGGACTGACTTATATTGCGACCAGTAGGACTAGTCTTCTAAAGTGACAGAGCAAAAGTAAAAAGTATGAGAACACCTCTGGATATCTAAAGCCGTTTATCTGATCACTGAATAATATTTTAACGGCTACAGATATATCAGCTTTTCATACGACGTACGTTCTTTACTCTCGTGTGACTACGAAAAACCACGCTTTGCCGTAAGAGGAATTTGCTGAACAAGCACATAACTTCATCATACGTCACGCATAGATGTTTGTGGTTACAACTAGCGAATAATTAATGATTAAGTTTGGTCCTCTAAATAGCTATGGTACAATTCTTGCTGACTCATGATCAGTCAGTATAAGATTTGGCTTTTACGCAATGCCGGCACACTACGTCTAGACTCGCTCACTCTATTAACCCAACTTGCTAATCGTGATATGTTGTCATCCATGAACCCATGTTGATGATGTTAGTGATGTTTTTGCAGGTGAGAGTTTATAAGGGCATGAACACTAATATTTAAAACCATTTTAATCACTGGCTCATGTAAATAATAAGATAGGCTCAAAAGGCACCGAAAATCGCTCCCTATGCCGTTCTAAAAGGAAAATTGTGTGTCATATCGAGGTACCACTGCATTGGGTTTTCAATTACCAGTGTTCTTGCCATTTAGTGAAAGAAATATTTTTTTTACGGTTAAGTTAAAAACATGTTGTTGCACTGTATTTACAGAATTTCATACATAAAATTGTATCCTTTTCAAAATCTCAGCCTTGGGTTTTATTCTTAAAATATTCTTAAAATTTTCCAAATTTCATCCTCGATAAATATCTTCTTACAGAAAAAAAGAGCCTACTGATGTAAGGTCAACAGAAGCTGCAACCACTGAAGATTAAGAAATAGCGTTTTTAATCAGTTATTTTGTAATTAGTTAGCTCGAAGGAATTAACAGAATTGCTACTCTGTAAATTTCAAAAAGTTGACTGTAGTTTTTATTGTCGCCCACAAATGAACATAGAAACAAATGATACGCTTGCCGCGGATTGAGGTGAACTTTAGACTACTGAAAACAAATCAAGCTAGCGGTGAGCAAGCGAAACTTAAACTGGCTCGGGGCATCCGAATAGCAAGTCCAGCGTAACCGCTCAGCATTTCTTTCAACTATAAAATTCGAGAATAAATAATCGAGATTATTATGTTAATAGACATTAAACCCGTCAGACTCCTTTGTTACCTGTTTTTGTGGTCTTGACAACCTTATTGACCAATATAAAAATAATATATTCCAACACGATTAATATGTGAACACAATGTTGGGACGTTCGCCAACAATGTTGCGTCCGTTTGCACTAGGCTATAAACTGCAGCACCGTTGTTTTTATCTTTGATGTTTGCCGCCTTTCATTACCAATCTCCTTTACCAACTATCGTTTATATATTTATATCCTTCCATTCTACATTTTAAAATTAAAGGCGTGAGTAGACATATGAAAAAAATAACCGCTGTAAAGGTTCTATCACTTTGGCAATATTTCTTGAATTTTCGGTCGCGCAACATGCTTACACCGATTGCGAGACCAAAATCAGCTTGTTTATTTTATACATCTAATATACATATAAATCTAGCCGAATTTTTGAAAACGTTACCGCCAAGTAAGTGTCCAAATTAACCAATATAAAAACTAAGAGTGCAACCATTGCTTTTTTTTCTCTTCTCCTCTTTTCTTCCTCTTCGCTTTTTCTTTTTCTCCTTTCATTTTCCTTCGCTAGTGTGATTTTTCAGCTTATCGGACGCAAAAGCTTTCCTTTTGGCCCTTTATCACTCAAATGGCTGTAAATTTCGTGAGTTTCGTTTTCAAAAAATCGGCTAGGTATAATGACACGGATCTTCTGTTACGCTCGAAATGCCTTATTCTGTCGACAGAATACTTGTCTCGCCTGTTCTGCTCTAAATTCTGCAAATAGAATTTATCCAAGCCTAAAATAACGGCAAATATGGAACAATATGAGAATAGGCCATTTGCACGATGGCGTCATTTTTAAAACTACGACCAGAATCCTTCAGGGTTTTTCTTTTTTGTGCAAATTAAGGGTTTTGTTATTTAGCCCTCACTGGGATTACCAAATTTAAATATGAAAGAAGAAAAGAAAAGAATTCTAGTCTAAGTAGCTAGTAAAAAGAAGTCATTGTGCAAATGGCCCATTAAAATCTCGTATATCTGAAATACCTTACTTGTTTACTATTAGTAAGTTTTGTTTCTGTGACTATTGTTTTTCCAGATGATCAGTGTCGTGAAAATTTGTTTGGTGCTGGCTTCGTTTTTTATCATCTCGTTGATGATAACACCAGCAAAAGCACGATGTTCTCCAACAAAGGAAATTACCTTATTTGACCCAAACAACACAAACTCTGAAACATGCAAAAGGTGTCCTAAATGCCCACGTGGTAAAGGACTTTCAGTCCAATGTGGGTCCAGAGTTAAGAATGGAACTTTTATTGGCTGTCAGAACTGTGAGAATGGAACTTACAGTGACCACTATGACAGATCAGACTGTAAGTCATGTGACCGATGTGGCCATAGGATTACCCTAAAGGAGTGCACCGCAAAGCAAAATAGCATTTGTTCAACCAAAGACTGCATTGCCGGGTATTACATGCATCCTGTGGTTGATGACTGCAAACTGAGTGAAACACCAACAAAGACTAATGCAGAGTCAATAGCTAGTTCTATCAACAATCGAACAGCATCAAAATCATTGCTGCCTAAGAACGTAACCCTAACGCCTACAGTATCTACTAAGCCTGAAGAAACAACTGAACTAGGTAGCAGGAAAGAAGATGAAAGGACCAAGCCACGGTCTCAGCCTATGAATAGCACTACGGCTTCCGTTGGCCCAGGTCAAAGCTACCTTGCGGCAGTAATTGGAGGAATTCTTGTTGTAACCCCTTGCTTCATCGTCTTCATTGTAGTCAAGTTTAAACGAGTCATCCACAGAATAATTTGCTGTATTAGGCGTGAGGGTTCAGAGAGAGGTACGAACGTTTTATAGAATTCTTATTCGTTTCTCTCCTAGGCTTAATATCCTAAGATGAGTTCTCGTTCTGATTTTTGAATCTCTGAACGAATATTTATTAATGGTGTTCTGCCTCGTACACAGGCGCGTTCTAGCGGATTCGAGAACGACTGGAGCGATTTTGATTCCACGTTAAGGTGTTTCGATACAGTTTTTCAGAGGCCATACCGATATTTTTCAATCGCCTTAAGTGTTTTTTCCTTGTCCGATCGCTATTAAATTTTCACCAGTAATTGGCTATGGATTGAAAATTGTGAAAATGTAGTTTTAAGTAAAATCGATATTACTATGACAACAATAAATAAAAAACTTTGAAACTGATGAAAGCCGAATTTTGTGTGATCTAGACCAGGTACTGAAAATCCAACACTAGGAATTTAAAGTTTGGTGTTAAAAAAAACAATCTCTGTAAGAGGTAAAAACTTCTGTATGTTTGAATTCGACTAAAACGAAAATATATTTCAAACCTTAAATTTTCAATAGCCGTGATAGATTATTGAATAAAAACGTTATAAATGACTCAATGTATTTTTAAGTAGCATCAGAATGCTGCTTAATATCATATTTTGGTGCCAGGAAATTTTGGTGTGTTTTTGTTTTTGCCATCTTGAAGACTATCCAGTTTTCTCACCACCTGTATAAGTGCAACTTCATTCAAAATTTGGACTTTTAGCGCTTTTTTGTATATCTCTAAAACGACTAGAACGAATTTTTTTTTTTTAATCTCTCCACATAATCTTCATAATGTATATAATAATGTCTGAAACTTTCATTAAGATTGAGTCACTGCAACATCTTGAAATTTCAAGACAAACCTTTTCTACGAACCTGTCAAAAATCTGCGTTACAACATTCACTGCTTTGACGTTATGCTAATTTTTCCAAAATAATGCGCACTATACATACCTCTATACGTACCTCCATGACTAGTACATTTTGGTTTGAATTTATCGCATCTTTTGAATGTAAAACATTGACAATACTTACACTGAAATGTACAGGTCATGGATATATGTATTGCCCGCATTAATTTGCAAAATTAGCATAACGTCAAAACAGTGAATGTTGAGTGAGGATTATTGACCGGTTCGTAGGATAGGTTTGTCTTGAAACTTCAAGGTGTTGTAGTGAATCAATCTCAATGAAAGTTTCAGACATTATTATATATATTATGAAGATTATGTGAAGAGATTTTTAAAAAAATTCGTTCGAGTCGTTTTAGAGATATACAAATAAGCGCTAAAAGTCCAAATTTTGAATGAAGTTGCACTTAGACAGGTGGTGAGAAAACGGGTTAGTTTTTAAATCGCAGGGCGAAAATACACCAAAATTTCCTAGCATCGAAATATGATATTAAGCAGCATTCTGACGCTACTTAAGAATAATTTGAGTCATTAACAACGTTTTTATTAAATAATTTATCACTTCTATTGAAAATTTAAGGTTTGAAATATACTTTTGTTTTAGTCGAATTCAAACATACAGAATTTTTTTACTTCTTACGGAGGTTATTTGCTAAACACCAAACTTTAAGTTCCTAGTGTTGGATTTTCAGTAGCTGGCCTAGATAGCGCAAAAGTAGGCGTTTATTAATTTGAAAGTTTTTTGTTTATTGTTGTCATAGTAATGTCGATTTTACTAACACCTACATTTTGAAAAATTTCAATCTATAGCCAATCATTGGAGAAAATTTTACAGCGACCAGACAAGGAAAAAATGACTTTTAAAGCGATTGAAAAATATCGGTGTGGCCTCTGAAAAACTATATCGAAACACCTTAAAAGTCCCATATGCGATACTTCTTGACCGAATCACTCGCAGTAGCGTTTTCCGTTCGACAAAACACTATAGACGCCTAGGAACGAGGCCGAGAATAGTATTTGCATTCAGAAGAAACCTATTTGGCATAGCTTTTGCATAGCACAATTTATTTCTTAGAATACAAGAGATAAAAATTCATTCTTTTTCATAGTATAATCTTTTACTTCGGTCGCCTATTACTCTCCACGATAAATGAAAGGGGTTGTGTCAAAGCTGGCTTGTTCATTTTTGACACGTCTCAATGTTTGCAATGAAAATCAGTGACAAGGTAGCAAAAATATATCTCCCAAGCTTTATTTCAAACATTACAAATAACAAAAATTAACTTCGAAAAACTGCAGTTAGGCCAACAAGTTTTCAAAAACCACAATCCCCAGAGAGGAGAAGTCAGTACGTTGCCATGGTAGCCATTTCTGGATGACAATAAACCGAAAACTTCACCTAAAAAGTGAATTCGCACTGTTTCAGACGTTATCTAATTCAATTTCATTTAATTTGTGCAAATGTTGGCAAAATTTTCTGGGGTTGAATCCGAAAGGAATATATCAAAGTTAACAGTTAAGAGAAAGGAAAAGGAAATTTTTGCGTTGTGTTCACCTACTCCATAAAACGGGCGTGAAATTAGGAATCGTTTAACGACGGCTAAGAAATACACAAAAAAGCGTGATGCACGTGCAAAGTTTTTGTTTTGCCAATATAAACCTGTTGCTTTTTTGTCGTTACTGTTGCTGTCACCGTTGTTGTTGGTTGAGCTCCATATTGTTGTTATCCAGAAAAATTGCTACCATGTCACACTTCTTTTCCCCATGCAATCCGTGTCGATCTTCCTCAAATTTGTCTATCTTATTCATACCTTTTTTAAGGTTCTGAGCGGTTATTTTTATGGCAGTGCTTGAATTTCGATAAATCTCGTGACACAGTTCCTTTAAATAGTCTACCAGAAGATGAAATAAGCAGTCAAAGATGTTCCGTTGTTTCTCTTATCTTTTTAGCCTCGCAAACTGGTAGTATTTTGAATATATCGAAATATTGTGGACAATGTAAGGTATTTCGTTACAGTTTTTCAGAGACCATACCGATATTTTTCAATCGCCTTAAAAGTGATTTTATCTTTGTCCGATCGCTATAAAATTTTAACCACTGACTGACTCTGGATTGAAATTTGTCAAATTGCAATTTTTTTATTTAAAGTAAAATCGATACTACCATGACAACAATAAACAAAAGAAATCAATAAATGCCTAATTGCGCGATCTCGACAAGCTACTGAAAAACCGACAACAGGTCTAATTGTGGTGTTTAGCAAAAATCTGCGTTACAAAATTCACTGTTTAAAATCACTCTTATAGCGATTGATTGATAGAATCACTTTTAAGGCCCTTGAAAAATATCGGTATGGTGTCCGAAAAACTGTATCGAAACGCTTTCATTACGCAATTTCTTCTCTCTCCAATTATTTCATTTGTGATAGCAAATCTTGAACTTCAATTAAATATTAAATTATAAAATAACAAGAGTGATAACGCCCTTAAACTGCTTCTTTGGCCTTACCTTTTTCACAGGTGAAAAAGTGCCATTGACTATAATTGGAACTGAGAATCACTTGGCGAACAAAGGCTCCAATGGTAACTATCAGTCTTACTATTGTGTAGGGTAGCTTAAAACATAACAGACAGACAACAGATTAGAGCCACATAGTAAAAAGGCTGTGATCAAGCCGTTATTATTAGTTATTATTATTATCATCATTATCATTATTGATTTTATTATTAAACAGCGAACTTCTTTAATTAGTAACAATTCATTTTAAGTCGTCGTATGCTATAACATGGTCCTCCTGACCGTGCTTTCGTTTTTTTTTTTTCGCTTTGCACGCCGGCCATTATTCCACTCGCAAACTTCAAGGTTGCGGCATCTGATTTCTTCTCATAAATTTTTATCGTTTATAAGCCAATCACAGTACCTCATTCTCAGAGACATTTGCATTTCTTTCTTTTTGCGTAATGTTTCCTTGTTTTCACTGTGCTTACTTACAGCTGCATTGCTCCTAGCCAATCACATTCAAGACATTTTTTCTTGTATATCATTAGTACTATAATCCCTACCAGCAACTATAATTAAATTGCTACTGACATAAAGTGAAATTTGCACAAATACCTACCCTGGGTACAAGAAGTTTTTCTCGCGTGCGGTGGGAATTTTCGGTGCTGGCCGAAGGCCGACACATTTTCGGCCGTAGGCCGAAGCCACTAAGTCTCTGGCTCCCAGGGTAACAAATACCTTATTGAAGACCCTAATTTGTTTTATCTAGTGCTGAACTCTCCAGTTCCTAACCCGTGATCTATTTGAAACTAATATCACCAAAAAGAGATCGGATTATAAACTTAGTATGACATTCTCTTCTTGTGAAAATAGACGTCAGAATGACGCCTTGCTCAGTGGATTATCACGGCAAAACCTTTGATACAGCTTCCTCAGCTGTTGAGTAAGCGTGATGTATTTGACAACTTTTTTCCAACATTTAAAATTCCTGCATCGTTTTTCAGCCTAAAGTGACAAAACAGGGTAATACCCTTCACCAAAACTCAGTGGTTTACGATTGTCTTACTACCTATATGTTGATACCAAACAGTACCCATCCGGTTGTTTTTATTTCAGTATTCTGGAAATAATAGAGAAAAACACTTTCGCAAAAAACACTGTGCACCCTATACCAGGAGCTAAATGCCCAACACTAACCCAAAGATACACACTGTACTTTGGTTGGCTGGTATAGAAGTACTTACTGGCACGGACGTTGCTAGTGAGGACATTTTATACGGCATTGCTCAGCAGCAGATGTACAACTTTTTAACAATTTGAGGAAATGAGAATCGAAATATCACAAGCCATCAAGGAATCAAGAGATACGAATAGGATCCTATTACGATCTCTTGACGAATATATGACGGACAGACATGAACGAAATCACTTAGTAAATTTCAGGATCTGAGAAATTTATTCCAGGAAACGTATTTGGCAACTAATTTCCTCACCGTTCTCTAAGAATTGGACAAGGCATGCCGTCATTACTTTTCCAAAAAACTAAGAGGCCGTTCTTAAGAAAAAGCACGTATAGACAATAAGGTTGTCAGCACTTTTTGATGATTCTTGCAAATCAATCCCTATCTCTACACTTCAGTGCAAACCATAATCTTAGCTCTATTTTGTCTGCTATTATTATCATTTCTTTTCGTATTAGATAAGCTTCCCTTGTTCTTAATGATTTTCCACTAAATATAGGCTTTTCTTCTTCTCTGAAAAGCGTCAAAGAATATTTCGACATATAAGCCTCGTGCATGAGGTGTCCAACCACCCGGCTTTGAGCTACAGCCAGACTCTAATTACGTGCCTTAATATAACTTAGCTTATACCACCATGTTGGTCAAGAGAGACAAAACTAGAATACAACGTAATCATATTGGCTCAGAATAGTGCGATCCCAGATAAGACCAGTTGTTGGCCAACGGGTTGCATTACATCAGCCGATTATTTGTTTCTTACAGAAAGTGTTTCAAGTGCAAGCGTAGCGTCAGCTAATGATAACGGCTTCAATATTCATCATATTCCTGAAGGTAATATAAAAAATTTTCTTAATTAATTAGTAGACCATGGTAGTGATGAACATTATTTTGGGAGTGCCCCTTTTGATTAACAGATTTTAACAAAAGCAAGGTAGATGTTGATGGCTTTGTGCTCTCCCGGGAGATGACATATTGTTAATGAGTAATACCTCCTTAACAGTAATTGTTTGTTGTCTCAATTGTGGTGATCATACGGCCCTTCGTTGACAGAGGAAAAGGGCTATGAAAGCCGGAAACCATCAAAATAAAATATAAAAACATCTTTGCTGCAGTTTAAATTAGATGATGAGGGCTCTCTTACCTTGTCTTTTGTTCACAAATTTGGACTTGATAAAACTAATGCGACGTTTCAAAATGATATGAATCTTCGTACTGAGCGCACAGTCAAGTCTAAAAAACCTAACAAAAAGAAATGCCGAAAACTGAAGTCTGACGGGCTTCATCTCAGTCATCTGCTTCGTAACCATAACACTTTTCAACTCCGTTCCCAGGACCCATTCTCTTCCTTTCTCATGAAAGAACTATAACCGAACTATGTCATGCTATGTACTGCCTAGATACGCTTGGAAAATCCGTTTTCTGGCTTTCCACTATGAGTCACTGTGCAACCGTGCCATTAGTCTGCGATTTAACCTGATCAAATCAACTCAATATGATATCAAATCACATCACAAAAATATCTTACAGATGTTCTGGTGAATGACGCAATCGTAACAAATGTTTTTGTCATGGATGAGCTTGCTCGCAAATTGGATCAACCGGACAACTCTGGGTCTCAGCATTGGAAGCATCTTGCTGCAGAATTTCAAGTACCGCAAGAAGTTCAGATGAAGTGCCAGCGCAGTCTAGAAAATAGTCTAAGCAAAAATATGTTTGAGAATAAAGAGGCAGATGACCCTAACTTCTCAGTTCAAGGACTCAAAGATGGACTCAAAGCCATCGGCAGAAACGATCTTGTGCTGGAATTGGAAAATGTTCCTGGTAAGTTATGATTTGCTGTTTGCTTTTGAACCCGTGAGGTTGGGGGCTCCCTATAAAGTTCTGTACTGTGGAGGCTCCACCCGAGAGGGGTTACCTTTTTCAGGCTTCAGATGCATGAAAGAGTAGTGAAATCTGTCGATTCTTTTAACTCATGACAAGTATTTCGAACATACACGTCTAATGCCGACTTCCTGTTTTAACGATTTAGTCAGTTACAGAAGTTAAAAAGGGATCCAGTGCTCTTTTGTAGGTATGTGGAAGGGGTACCATTTGTAGATGGAATTAAGGCCGATACGAAACGGGTACATTTTCTGTTGAA